GCTTTCTCCCCTACCGAAGATATATATATATATTTATTATTTTATATGACTTTGTAATTTATAAAGTAAAATAAGTACAATCCAAACATTAAGAAAAAAAAAAAAAGATGAATTTCAGTAAAACATCTTAATTTAAAACAGAATACTTAAAATTATTCTAATTCAATTTTACATAAAATTTTTAGATTGATATTCAAATATTTAAAGTACTGGAAAGTATGCTTCATTCAATTCAACGTATAACATTTTTATGTTACATTATAAAAGCTATTTACAATAGAAATACAAATTAGAGTTGATTGCCGGTAACAAAGATTTAATAATTCGCTACATATATATTTAATAGTTTATTAGCAATCATTAATTATAGTGACCTAGTTCTATAATAATCAGTTTTTTTGCCATTTTCTAATTTATTCACCAAATTATTTTAAACTTTAAAACATTTATAAGTCTAAAATGTCGTAACATTATTATTTTAACTATGTCATCTGTATTTATTACTTAAAAAAAAAAAGTAATTTAAGTTGTTATTTAAAGTATTACAATTAAATCTGTAATAATTTACAGTTTATACTTTAATAAAACACACATATTTGATTTTAAATGGAATGTCAATAGTATTAAATTAAATAATACTAAATATAACAAATTTTAATATACAAATATTTATCTTCCTATCAGATGTTTGTTAATTTTAAATACTGTACAAGTATATGAATGATTTTAATAACTTTGTATCGACTTAAAATAGCAAGAAATTTGTTAAATATAGAAGATACTCGACTAAAATATTTATACATTTTCCTTTTAAGCAGGAATGTATTTAAAAACATTTATTAAGTAATCTAGACACACAGTGTAGATAGAAAAAAAAACTTGTTTCATACACATGACTACTTAAATTCACTTGTAACTTAAATAATTTCCGTTCAGACAGTTAACAAACAACGACCTTGCATTGTTTATAACAAATGCCTTATTTTGACCTTTAAAGTAATACTAAATTATTCTGATTAATGAACATAAACATAATATACGTCTAATACACACAACATAACGGAAAGATGAGAAATATAAGAGATTATATATTAAAAAATGCCGTAATAACAATCCATTTAAAGCTTTTTATCAACATAAATTACGAACTTACCAAAAATGGACGTACACATCGCCAGACCAGGCGCCATGTTGTGTTCTGTAAAGCAAGAACTTCGTTAATTTATCTAATCAATTTAAAGTTAATAAGAATGACAAAAAAAATATTAGAAATTTATCTCGAATTATTATTATATAGTTTATTTTAAGAAAGATTAAATATTTATAAAACTTTCATGTTATAGAAATTTATTAATTGTTAGTATTTCTTATCGATATTTTTGAAAAAATATTTTAATTTTAGAACTGTGTAATAATTAATTGGTTATAATGTTATTTAAGTATAAAATGACGTTTTGGAAATTAGAAAAAGAATGTGAAAATAACATATGGCGCCATATTGAGTCTTTGATAACATCTCGCCTCCGCTGACATGATTTGGTTTCGAATTTCATTTATATATCAGGCTTTTTTTAGTTGTTCTTCTTTTACTGCCTACGAAATGGACATCAGATATACGGAGAAAATATTTGCGATTATGTAAAACGAACTAATAAATGTTTGCAAATAAAAATTTATTGTGCTTTCATTTGAAAAAAATTACAATTAAATAATATATTTTATTCTCTTATTAATAAATGTAACTAAAATATATTTCTCTTTACACGGTTTTCAATATTATGAATTTAAAAAATTGAATCTGATATTTCCTACAGTTCGACAATTAAATGACCCGAGCGCTCTGGGTTCCAGCGACAAAATCCGGGCAAGCAAATCCTCGGGAATTTTTCATGAATGATCGGTCCTCATCCTTACTCAAGGTCGGATTTAACTCTTCGCCGCTGTAGGTCCAGGCTAGAATTTCGTCTGTTATGATGTAAACGCATGATACATTTTGTTTTAATTAAAAATGATATCATGCATATTGGCTACTTTTGCATTATAAGGTGGTCGAAGCTATCAAACTTATGTAATTGCACTGATGATTGGGAGAAAGGAATGAGTTCAAGAAGCAAGATTTTGAAATAATCGAAAAAAGTCTCTTGGCTCCTAGAAATGTCTTTCAATTATAATGAAAATATAACTATTATTAGAGGTCATTAATACCATTATGTAACCTGGATATCGGGTAAACTGGAGAATAATCAAACTCAATCTATGCCTTTAAAAATGCTTGAATTTATTTCGTTATTCTAACCATCGCGTATAAAACAAGTAAACTCGGCAATATTTCCGCAGTTCACTTTTTTCAGCTGTCGAGCTCCATGGCACGGTGGTTAGCATCTCCACTTACGAATCGGAAGGTCTCCTGTTCGATGGGAATTAGTTTTTTTTTTTTTTATGTGTACGTTCTCAAATCTTCGAGAATATATGTTAATTCACTATCATTTACATATTTCGACAATGCCCTCGCGCTATAAAATTGCGAGCTCTCAGGTTAAAAAGCAGTTTTGTCTTGTAATGCCTACTACAGTGTCTGTATGTTCTATGTGTGAATAAAAATCCCTTCGTGTTTACCAAAGACTTGTTATTGCGGTTCACCGTTCATCTACGCGATATTTTAGTGGAGACGCCGAGTACTGTATTTCTTTCATTCCCCTTTGTCATAGTGGAGAAACCATCCAGTCCTCGCCGAAGTTTACGTCTCCAATCCATCAGAATACAGACTGTATTCTTCTCCTGGACGTTCACTAAAAAGAATAATGGCTCAAGACGGCACGAAAACATCAGTAGTAACCTCAGTGACCTCCCCTCTGTAATACAGCACTGTAGAAATCCTTTTACGTTGAACCCAGCAGAATGGTTGAAGGAATACGATAGAAAGCGATATTTAACCGCTGGGACGATGTGGCATGCCTCGCCAATGCTTATTTCTTCCTAACGGTACGACTAGTACGGTTACGTACCTTAATTAAATAATGGCCCAGCAAAAAGATCGAGGTACGACGCTGCACACCGCACCGTGTCATATCAGCCTGGTGATCTTGTGTGGATATTTACACCTGTGTGCATGGTGGGTCTGTCCGAAAAGCTCCTTAAGCGATATTTGGCCCATATAAAGTCCTTTAGACGATTGTCTGATTTTACCTATGAAGTCGAATATTTCGATCCTACGTCCAAGCGGAGGTAGCCAAAGGATACAGTTCACGTCCTTCGCATAAAACCTATCGTGATCCTAATATTAAAGGCATTGACTCTACCTGTGACGTCGATAGTATACATCCTCTTCTGTTATGAGCACAACCTTTTCAATTTCCACATCATAATGATTTATTGGAAAATAATTTGCTAGTAAATTTATCTTTTTACCCTTAATGTCAATGCCATGTCTTTTAGCAAACTCATGTCTTGTAGAACCAGTATAAGTAATCTCAAGACTCCAATCGAAATAATAATCACTGTACTTTTTGGCTGTGATACAGAAACAAGAGCCATGGCTGAAGACGACTATCCGCCTACATTAGAAGATTATGGATGTTCCATCCGAGCAACACCTTCTGTATGTAAAGATGGTTTTGTCATACTGTCTACAGGTGTAATTCTTGCAGCTGCTTTACTAGTCGTTGCTCTTGCATCTTCTGCAGGTATCGAAGAACGTAATTCTTGTCTACTTCGAAATTCTCCACCACGTTGTAATTCATGAAATTGAGCTCCACCAGGAGCGCATCAAAGTCAACATTTGCCGGATCTATGACTCATTCTAGAACTACAGCCAAATTAGGAAGTGCTTAAATGACAGCGAGACGCTGTCTTCTTAGGGGAAGGTTCACTTTTGTGCCGCAGTTCACTTTTTTCAACCGTTAAGTTCCATGGCACAGTGGTTATGAATCGGAAGATTTTCGGTTTGAACCTGTTCGATGGGAATTAGTTTTTATGTGTTTGTTCTCAAAGGTTCAAGAACATATGTTAATTCACTATCACTTACATATTTCGACAATGTCCTCGCGAAATAAATATGCGAGCTCTCAGGTTAAAAGACAGTTTTGTCTTGTACTGACTGCTACAGTGTCTGTATGCTCTATGTGTAAATGAACATCCCTTTGTGTACGTTTACCAAAGACTTGTTATTGCGGTTCATCTACGCGACAACATTCTTAGAGTTTTAAATTTAAGGAAAAAAAGACATTAAACTTTCGGAAAGCAAAAATGTTTAATTGATTTATTTATAAAAAATACAAATACTAGTGTTGTCATTATTTCTTCTTTTCATTATGTTTTTTTTCTCCCATCCATTTGTCTTATTTTAATTCTTGGATTCTTAATAATAATTCTCCATTCCACAAGTTGATCATAAAATTGTTTTCGGTTGGAACATAATGGCGAATGTATTTTAAGTCAGTAAGTTTCGCTTCATAATATGCACGTCATCATCAGGATAAACATTGAGATGGAAGAGTAGGCCTATTTACTGCTCGGCCTTTCGCAAATCGAAACGTGTGCTTCACTAATCTGTCAATAAACTTTGATACAACTATGTATCAAAGATTGGCTAAGTTGTAAACAAAGTATCTGTAAATTGTAAAATTTTTCCTTTAAAAAATGAAAAGAATTTCTTAATTTGAATAGTCTGCCCGATATGTCGAGCTTCATCCCTTCATCCCCTGTCGCCCCTCTGTTTATCTGGCCGGACCCACAATGGGCTTAGTAAAAAAAAGGCCTCTCTAAATGCCCGCGGAGAGTTAAAAAAAGAGACTTTGATCAAGATGCTATGCTCCTGAAGTAGATTCGATCACATCTAATAATCCGTTTTATTGACCCAAAGTCACAGTCGTAGAGCAGGATTGAGTGTCCTCGTAACGAGTAGTAATGGTAAAATATGTTAAAGCAGCCGTCAAACAAATGCGCTGAGTGAATGGTTTCTTCGTACAGTACTGTACCTGACGGCCGGATGACCGAGCCGTCAAGGTGGCATCCTATCGTTCTGGGGACCCGGAATCGAATACGGACGGATCGAAAAATCCCAGGAATTTTCGGGAGGTGGTCCGTCCGGATATGTCGGGCCCCGTTCTTCACCACCTGACCGTCCCATTGTGGGTCTGGCCGAGCCCGTAATGGGCTTGCAAAAAGAGGCCCTCTTAGTGCCCACACTACGGAAGAGTTAAAAAGAAAGTATGTAGACTAGTGAAATTCATTTTTATGCAAGTAAAAAGTTTTTATTATATCATATCAACTAAATATTTAGATATCGAAGTCACATTCGGAGTTTGACTCGGAGTCATTTTGTACTACAATCACGCTCGGTACTTTTAGTAATTTTAAAACGTTAGCGGTTAACGGCGTTTTTTCTTCCTACCAAGTGATCTAAGATTTGTAATGACAGGATCTGAAGAAATTAAAAATTATGTAAAATATCTATGTTACTGTTTGTTCTAGAAGTTTTCCGAGAATAACTCTCACGAAATTTTTTCCTTGTGTCTAGCATCTTGCACTTCTTCGGACAATTGTCCTATTGGAACGAGAAACGAAGATATAATTTTTGATCCGCGTAGTCGCTCTTTGTAAAGAGTGACTGGTTTTGGATATCAACGACAAAGCGTCACATATAACTCCGCTGTTTCCTGCGTGTAGATTTTGAATTTGCTTGTATCGTTTTCGTAGCAGGATGTCAGTGCTTGTAATATAACCAAAAATCGTTCTATTAGGTTCTTGTTAACACCGGCTGTCTCTGAAGTAAGAGTGGCATTCGAAACAAAATGTTCTTGCCGAATTACCGTCGTTGGTGTTTCCACCACCTTGTTTGGGAGTATTCAGAAGTAGACCAGTTTCGGTTCTAAATTTCTCAATGTTTTTCTTTCTTGTTGATACTGACTCTTTCTCTTCGGTCTTGGGCACTTGTCATTTTTTAATATCCATTCGATATGTGAAGAATGAATTCTATGAATCTTATTTGACAATGAAGAGTCGATAGACCAAATGAAAAAGTTTCTTCATTACATTGTCTCATGTTAATGTTAGGTAGATCGTTGATTTGGCTGGATATGGCACTACACATGTAACATTCTTGAGTCGATTTATTTGATATTAAAGCATTACAGATCTTAGTATCGACATATAGTTTCGATAAACTCGTGATTTATCTTTAAAGCAAAATTCTTATATATAATTTCGGTACTTTGTATCTCACAAATTTGGTTTTTGATGTGATACTTTTCTTGTTGGTTTCTTTCACAAAGCGAAAACGAATTGGTCTGGAATATCTGGTAGAACTTGGTCTAAGATTTTACCATAAAATTACCTTTTTCTCATAAGCAAAAGTTTGTGTATGTACCAAAGACGTCGTAATTATATTAGCGTTTTCGAAATTTTCTTCCGAAGCTCTTTGTTTGTATCGACTTATCTCCACTGCCATCCAAACCCCACTTGAAAACGTTGGTAATATTCTTCAAATTACATTTATCTTCTAGAAAAAACTATTTAATCTCATACGTTGTAATTAAATATAAGATTATTTGACGATAATTTAAATAAATTTC